TCGGGTTGGGAGTTAGAGAAACAGGTGGAAAAGAAAGAAGGGAGGCGCCAGCAGTAGCATGTTTTCGCTTATTTGCCCTGCTGTTTATAGCAGATAAGGCGACCCTTGATAATCTGCGCAACGGCCGATGCAGGATGAAGTTTATGTTTGAAGAAAATGTCGTGGTTGTATGTGGGCTGAGATAATACGAGGGCGCCCAGACCTAGACAGCGGGACGACTAGGTTCCTCATTCAAAGCCTTTGGCTCGAAAGCCTATCCGCAAGGCAGCGGGGAGGTGGTAGTGATTTAGTTTTACGGAAATGGACGCTATCCAATTTCAAACCCTCAAGCTGGAGGACCAGGAGACAGTTTATCTGACTTCTTACCATTGACCAACCTGGTAGGAGTAGCTCTCAAGGTGCCCGGAGTAACCACCCAGTATAGCTCAATGGGTCAAGGAGGTACGCAAACCGTCGCACCACGTTAAGGTCCAGTCTCGTTGCGACGGCCAGATTTGCATCCTCGAATTGCAGAGCTCCAAGATTGACAAGGACCTAATCCTGAACTGACTCTTGGTGATGATCAGTTACTTCTGCAGCCGGCAGCTGTCATTGCTTGTGGAATATACGAGGAGATGACGAAATTTCAGTTAAAGCTTGAGATTTTATAGCCAGTTTGCGCCATTTGTTGTGCCGACGCGACATTCTCTCCATGGAATGCAGAGTTTACAATGCAGCCCTGCGTCAACCCTCCTGTACGGTTTCGAAACATGGCACACTAGGTTAGCCACATTCGACCATCGCTACCAAGCGCTAACTTTGTCAAGTGGATTGAAAGCACTCACCGAAGTTGGCGTCGGTTGGTGTATCCCGACTGCGGCGCTTGGGTCCGAGGAACGATGATCACGTTTCGTTGGATACACTTGTTGACATTGCGAGGAGTCGAACCCAATAGCGTTTGTGTTGAGTCTCTTTGTCACTTCCCTCCTTAGCTCTTCCTTCAACAATGATCTCATACCCACTACATAATATAATATTCAACCTTATATTACGCTTTTGATTTTTTAATCGGTAATGTGTAATATACTACAAAGGCGTTAGCATGATAACACCGCACCATTTATATCCGGACAAATTTTTCTGCATCTTATCAAGTGCGTACTGCAGATTGCGTGGGAACATATCTACTTAGCATCATGAACATCTGGTGTAGTTGAGATAGCAAATGCACCAAAGGACCTACACTTAGGCAAGCACTCAGGTCAGTTGTTCGTCTGTCAGCTTATCTATTATCACGGCAGAGCCAATGTGACGTACGCGTCCTTTTGTACGCATAGAGTGGGCCCAGTTGTTTTTATGGCCACCGCTTCGGCATATCATAAAACGTGAGTGTTATTTGACGCGATGATCATCCGGAATGTGCGCGCACGATCCACCTTGTGTTTGTTTGTGAGCAGGTATCGGGCGCTTGACGAGGCTGGAACTTTGTGCGGCAAATCGTTCGCACTTGGGGCGATGATTGAGGTCATTGGCGATGCGTGTCGTCTCACCCCCTTCGGCAAGTGCTCCGCGATTCTCACCTGCACCTGACACTGTCATACCCACATAGTCGGCCTTGCATTTACATGTAAATAGGTGCAGGACGTGTGAACGGTTGGACAGAGGTACTGGTGGCTTATCCGCCGAAGTAGGGATGCGAGTCGTTGTGTACAGTACTATCTGTTGCTCCGCCGGGTACACGCGTGCCAATACAGGTGAACACGTGGGGCTATCTTTCTAACGTTTTTGTTGAAGATCTCATCGCGACATAGATGCTAATCTTTAATATCTTTTTGTTTGTTTTACATCAGCTGTGATTTGTTTCTCACCCTCAGCAAACGTGTATTGATGATGATGCTGATCGCTGCCTTCGCAGCTTAGCTCATGCCTGGTGGGAACACCGCGCGAGCAGTGCACCTGTTCGCCGCCACATTTTGGCGCAGGCAAAGCGAGTGAGCCACTTAGCACTAGCCTCCCATGGCTGGGCCACATGTTGCGCATGCCAGTACACCGATCCCCGCGACGGGCGTGGTTTGCTCTCCGGGGTTGTGGATGGAAAAAGAGTAGGAGAGGTCAGGCGTTGACTTGGTCAAGAGAAATGAGAACCCTCACTTCGAAGTTGGCGTCGGTTGGTGTCTCCCGATTGTCAAACTGGGGTCCAAGGGCCTAACGTTTGCTTGGATACACTAGCTGGCATGGCGAAGTGCCGATCTCGATCGTGTTCGTGTTATGAGTTTCATTGTTTCTCCCCATCCCTCTCCAACCAGGATCACAGTATTGGAGCATAATACGTCACTAAACATTAAATTACCTGTTGTTTTTTGTATGTTCTATACTTTTCCCTATCTCGCCTTTTATATATCCTAACTTTTTATCCCGACACAATAGCCAAAGTGAATTCATCACCTTCAGCTATCGTGTAATGATACTAACAATGCTTCACATTAGATATCGGGCGTGTGTGGTACAGCACAAGCCACCCATGGTCCCTACTTAGTCGCAAGTCATATTGAGGGGAAACTCCGGAAACTGGTGCTATCTATTGATTTGCTGTATCCTCGCTAATTCGTATTCAAGCTTTTTCATGCAATGTCTTGGTTAGGAGCCCTTATCCTTATCTTGCTTAGGTCTGAATAACATGAGGGCGATAAACAGTTGGTCAATCCTCAGACCCGCCGATTAGCCCGTTGGGTGGAAAATTTTGTAGATCCGTTCAACGGGCCTGCTATGACACTGTCACTTGATGAGTCACCTGGGCCGACCGCAAAGTTGATATCATACCTCCACGTTGTAGGAGATTGGACAGGAGTTGGCTGTGCTAAAACGGCGACCATCCTCCATCTTTCAGCAAAGGTGTAGATGACTTTGTTGAATGTACACCCTTTGGAACACTACAGTTACCTTCAGGCTAGCAACTATCAACTGTCATAACTATCTTCAGAAAGGTTCTGAAGGTCATCTCGCAGAGATTACCGAAACATTAGTGTTTTCTTTACCTCCATACGTTCCACCGGTATTTTTCTTTGATGGCTTACTGATTCTCGTGTGAGCCGAACCAAGGCTCAACCATACACTTACTTTCCATGAATTCTTGGAACGGAGGCACTTACACACGACGGACTATGGTAGTTTTCCTTGATCTGATAGCGGCCCTCGACTCTGCTAATCGATTCAGCTTGTGGCACTGTCTAGCTGTTAAGGGATTGCCGGGGAAGCCCCTCATTTTTCAGTCTCTACCACGATTCCTGGGGCCGTTTGCGGAAAACTGTCTTCTGAGTTTCCCACGACAATTGGGGTCCGCCACGGTTGTCCCATGTCTCTGTTCCTCTTCCACTTTGCGATCGAAATGACTACCGGAGTTGAAGTTCCGTCAGTTGACTGACTAATAAACCTTGAGTATGCAGACGACATAGCTCTCCTTGGGTCTGACATAGTGGTTATGCAAGCACTACTGGATAGCGCTGTGCGCTTCGGCATGAGCTTTTCATCTTCAAAGTGCAAAGTACCGATGCAGGGTTGGACTGACATACCGGTTTTAACTATCACCGAACAGCCACTGGAATTGGCGGATCGATTCACTTATCTACATAGCTATGTTGCTTCTGGTGATTGTATCACTGTGGAGGTTACTTCGCATAGCAGCAAGATTTGTGTTGCTTTTTAAGGGTTTACTATCATTGCAGACGGGGGGGTATAGACTGTTGATGAGAGTTAGGATGTATAACACTGCGCTAAGGTCGTAGTTATTTTACGGATCAAAACTCTGGCCAGTTCGCAGTAAGGACATTAAACGTCTTTGTGTGATCACCGGTGCTGGCGGAGTATTGCCCACATCTAGTACAAACACTTGATAAGCAATGCCGAGGCCCGCCCATTGGTTTTTGGCAAGAGCTTTTCTGGTGCTTCACTCGAGTGTTTACCAGAGCTTAAATGCTTACGTTAATTAGCTTATGTTTTCTGTATGGCCCTTTACCTGCTTCCTCGGCGTGCATTGTACGTGGTGTTCGCATTTTCCAGCTTGTAATGGTGTCCTTCCTAGTCTCCATGTGCAAAAACCAATGTATATGGTTCTTGTTTGTGGCTGCTTTATGCTCCGCAACTAGTGTACAAAGTTCGTCCGTCGTAGCGAGTGTGTTAATGACGACACCCTATTAAGTGGATGAAAGTCTGCATACGATTCGCCAGGTACAAAGCGGCCATAAAAAGACAAGAGACATGTTTCTTGGTTTCCGCACATCGAGATCACAGGGGGCTGCCACTTCGATCTGAAAAATATGATGCTTTTGGCGCATGTGGTACAATGCATGCGAGAGAATTTCTGGAAGTATGGTACTCCGCAACAAACTCAATCAACCGACACATTGAACCGGTTGCAGCATGCGCAACACTGCTGTAGATCGCGTGCTCAGTCAGTTAAATCCGGTGGAACAGAACCCCAGATAAAGTCACATTGCACGAGTCAAAGCGCTCACGTCCATAGGTCACCTATTTATCCAGCAAGCAGAACACAGACGGATGCCCCAACCAATGGGATTGCCCATCTTTACGACAAATCACAGTAACATACAGAAACATGTACACACTGTGTCCTACACGCTCTCATAGGGGATCTGCGCTACGCTACCACACACTGCCCAACAACGCACTGGTGATGTCGCTTTGCCGGGTGACGAAACGTTGCAACGTAATTGTTAACCTCAACGAACAGTTCAATGGCCATATCTCTTTTTTCCATTATATGACGGTGAAGCGTCAGTCCAAAGTCGCGGTGCGCTGCTGCCGGTAGCGTTGTGGATGACTATAAATTTCTTAGGTTTCACTAGTAGCTTTTTAATTCCAGCAACTCATATCGCGCTGTTACTGTCGGATGTCTAATGGTTGCTTGCTTCTATCATCACACTATGTGTATTTCGAGTCCTCTACTCGTCGCGAATCCTTTACGGTTACTCTTCTTTGTCCTCCCTTCTTGCTATATTTCACAGATCCAAGCAAACGAAAAGCTGGTGCTGTTTCTTACATTGGGTTGTTGCCAATGCTTCTCGGCACACTCGGTTTCGGCGTACAACATCTTGTGGCTAGCATCAGGTGAGTCTCTAATTTGCCTCTTCGGATTGTTCACTTAAGTCCCTCTGTTGCGCATCATCCGCTCCCACGATATTTGAGTACCCCATATTTGTGTTCTTGAGGGGTTTAGCCCTTCCGTTCCAACGATCCGTTGCATTCCTTCCATTTACTTCCAACTATCAATCCTTTCTTTCTACACAGCATTGAAAATTGTTTTTTTTCCACTGGATCAATGCAACCACGTTTTCCCCACCTCGATTTTCGGGTTGCAGTTGGTACGATGGACTGCATTTAAATGCGGAATGCTACTAACTTTATAACAATTTATGCTGTGATACTTTTTGGGAATGAGTCAACGCGCCAATCATCGCACTCTGTCCCATGCAACCTAGGTCCACTGAATTTTTCTTGTAGTTCTTTTTGCAAAATTCAGTTTATCTCATTTTGACAGTCAAATAGACACCTTGCGAAACTCGACCACCGAAATCAGTTTCTAAACATTCCTATTGTCTTACAGTCGATAGCAAACTTGTTTCACCAGTACCTAGGAAAAGTGTGTGCCATGTCTTCGTCTACCCATTGCTACTTTTTCATCAACCTCGTTTTTCGGCCCACCTTTGTTATCGAAGGCGGAGTACCCCGGATGTGAAGCGCTTATTAACGATCCGGAACATTAAGCGACATTATCCGATTAAGGATTACGCTCTTCGTTGTTGTTGCTTCCGCAGTGTTTTGTTCGTCTTTCCTTACGGTTGAAACTTTGTAAGACGGACACCGCACAAGATGCGCTTGCATCAAAACTATCTCGGTTATAAACCTATTGGATCACAGGAGATGCTAATCTTCAACAATTCAAAATTCCCGTTTAATAGAATGAATCAGAATCTATCTGTAAGCCTATTGTTGGCACCCATAGGATGATTGATGACAGCCAACTGTGTTTCTCCATTGGTAATATCCCGAAATTTACAGCTCGTTTCCTTGAGAACTGAATCTTAAAGCAGCGTTGTTCACAGCGACTTTCCCCTCACTAGCGTCTTTTGGTGTGCTACTGGCTTTCAACATTGCGTTTTATCGTCGGTATACTCGTTCAAACGGTTAGCCAAACCCGGCACTTCAACTTTAAACTTCCTAGCTCTCGGCTGATCAAGTCACCACTTAGCAGTCGAGTCTTTTTTGTCACAACGATTTGGTGTTTGTGTGTGTTAATCATTCCAAAGTTAAATCGGCGCGGTGCATTTTTTTTACCGAGCTCGGTACTTTAATCACAATGACATCTATCAGCAACCAAGCGCTCCCAGGCATGACTCACTTCTGGCTATCTTTATCTGAGCAGTTCAGCTTGATACGAAGGGTTTTGTCAAATGCAGTACTTGAATGACCAGTGATGAAGATGTCTCTACCTTGAATGGAACCCAGGTGGATTGACTTTATCTCAGCATAAATCCTCCTCCTGATTAAGATTTGATTTCTCAGTCCACATGCACACAACGCTCAGTACCATTTTCAGTCAATTATTCCGCCTGCTCGTCGCCTCCAAGGGTTATAATGCTCATTCTGCAGCCACCTTGTGTGGCGATTGAAATTGTGTTGCCATTTAACTCCTCTATAACACACCAACTACTGTAAGGATAGTAACGAAACTCGATGGGTACGGTGATTTGCGCACATTCGTGACCTACTCAACATCGATGGGCGGCATTCCCAAACAGTCGCTCCCACTAAACAGATCAATAATTCGAAGCCAGACAAAGCCTTTGTATGCTCTTTATTTACCGGTGAACTAAGGAATGATGCGTCTCATTGGAACCAAAAGTTCACATGTATCTACGTAGATGCGGGCAACTTCACAGTATCTCTGGCTAGTGCACCACTGATAGCAGTACGACCGAGTAGTGTCGAGCACCATCGCCACGGGTTGTTTTTGAAGTTGACCGACTACGGCTCTTGCTCAGTAGTTTTCTGTCGCCTACCCCAGCGTTAGGTCAAGAGGATTTGTTTCAGCCATTGCACTTGTTTTTAAACCATTCTGGAATTATGAATTCTCGATCGGTTCCAAACATATTTCAAGATATCCTATGTAGCTTATTTTAAATCATTAAATTTTGGTTGTGGAAAGGTACCAGTAATAGATTAGTACACTGGCGACGCTACGCTGCCGCGCGTCCGTCACCAATGGCTCGCGGGCCAAGGATATTGCGACCTCACCCGAACCTACACAGGTTCGAACCGGGGTCCCTTGGATTACAAGGGAGACACAGTATCCAAATTGCCCACTTTGGCAATTTTTCCGCACAGCTTAGCGCATGTAGATTGTCCCTTCCGACTAGCGATGATCCACTGCCATTCTCTTCTCTCACGCCCATCTGCTCGACTATGTCATCGCACGCCAGCGGGACATGCGGGAAGTGTGCATGACAGTTGTACTGCGGGGAGCTGAGTGTAACACTGAATTGTGTATTGTCCATGCGCCGTGAACCGGCGCAAATTTAGTGTCTTTTGTTAAGTACTATTGTTGCATGGAACAGGATAAAGCAGTGGCTACTCGTCTTGGTGATGTAGCATCTGTCACCTCAGTGTGCGACCTGCGGCATCACATTTTTGAATAGGTGACGGTTGCTGCCGAGGAAACGGTCGGGCGCGCACTGTAAGCGGCCCAATTGGTTTGGTGACAGCAGTGCGACCATTGGCGCAGTGGTGTCAGGGAAGAATGCACCATTAACTGCCCACGCTCGCCTGACCGATGTGCGCCGCTCTCAAAGCTGTAAAAGTACAGAACGCTAACCAACCCACTAGGTCAGGTAACGACACCAAATTGAATGGCAGAAAGGTGAAACCGAAGAGACTCCCATCGAAAGGCATTTGTGGGTTAGGAGAATGTCATCGGGTAGTAAAAGTCGGTCTGGCTTGTTCGCACTGTTTGGAATGGTACCATACGAAATGTGCAAATGTGTCCCAACAACAGTTACGGGAGCTAAATAGCTCCCAAGATGCATTTTGGTTCTGTACTGCGTGTTCCACCATCCCACTCGTTAAGTGCTTGCTTATCCTAGCTGAGAAATGCGACCAGTTAATCGCAGAAGCAGAGCAGAGGATCAACAATAAGCTTACTTCAATAGAAGCGAGTATGGACCACAGAAGCCTAGCGGCTGCTAAGCAACGGAATGCTGAACAATCCGCTTCCCATGCTTCGCAATCATTCACGTCTCCATCTCCGTAGTCTTCTCCACCTTTGGTAGAACGCCGGGCAAAAACAGACTGCACCTACGTGAATCAAACATTACTCACAGCAACGAAAATCAGGCACCATTCAAAACGTCTGGTTAAGCAAATTCCACTAGACCTGACATCTAGTATTAACAAGGATGAAGCGGCCAAACACCAACCCTTGGTACCTGTAGCTCAAATATCTCTTGTCGAGACTAAGCCTCCCAGAACATCGGTTACATATGCAGAGATTGCTGCAAGGGTCCACCGAGAGGCCGCCGTTGCGTCCTCTGCCATTGTAAACACCGTTAACGCAAATAGAGAGAAAAAGAGCAATCACTTGTCAACAAATCAAGACAAATAAGTACCATACCTTGTAGATCAATGAAAAAAGGATCCGACAACAGTGCCCGGACTGTTGTATGCTCAAATGTCCCTGAATCTACCGCCATCACATTGCGGGATAAGTTATCAGACGACCAACACCAATGGAACTCATTGTGTATACAGATGAGTATCAAAGCCAAGCCCATAAACTTGTTACGAATTACTCGTCATCCGAACTCGCCAAACTATGGATAATATTGTGGCACTATCGCTCACCAGGATACCTCTCTCACCGAATTATAGAGGATGCGGTCCTAGAATCCTAAAACTTGTGGTTCAGTCAGAGCAACAAGCAAAGGATGTTTTGGATTGATGGCAGCGAAGTCGGAAATATCTTCCTTCCGAAATTCGGTTAAAGGTCGCAAACACTTTGCACAGCTCAAATATTAAAGCAACTGGAGCAGCAAGCATGCTGACGAATGTACAAAGTGTAACTTGACTGCTGCTTTAATTGACTCTGACGTAGGTCTAAACGAAGGCTGGGACGCACCTTGGGCGAATCAAGTTGCAAACGAGGTAGCGTTGACCCATAAAAAAACGAGTAACTGCCGACCTCCCATCGGTCGGCATTCTCCCACACTTGACAGCTTCACCTCTCTGCGGGCTCTTAGAGACCGAGAAACTGGCCTGCTTGTATACAAATGCTCAGGGACTTTCTAACAAACTGGCTGAACTGAAAGATCGCCAAGCTTCCGGTTCGTATGATCTCACTGGTATCACCGAGACATGGTTGCACACGGGAATGACGGACGCTGAAGTTTCGCTACCAGGCATGTCGCTGATCCGGAACGACAGGATAGGCTCACAAAAGGAGGAGGGGTAATCCTGTACTACCGAAACGACTTACAGTGCGAAGCCGTGGAGGATTCAGACTCGCAGTTCCCTGACTCTCTTTGGTGCCGGTTGCAGTTAAAAGGCAGGGACGTTTGCCTTATTGTCTTGGTGTACCGCGCCCCTAACTCAACACCGGAAACCGACTACCACCTAACGGCTGCTTTAAGGTGCAGTTGACAACAAAATTACACTCACATTCCTATCATGGGTGATTTCAACGTACATTGTTTAGAAGCCCCTGCCACGGAGAACAATTCAAAACCGATTTACAAGATCTAGTAACTACTGTTCCTCTTTACAACCACATCACTGCTCACTCGGCTCAGAACTGGTAACAGGCCATCTGCTAGATCTTGTGCTTACCAACGAGGAGCATATGATTGATGCGTTGGTTTTAGACTGCCCGTTGGGTCGCAGTGATCACGCAGTCATCAGTTTCAACTTCGTCTGCTATGCAGAATATCTAAGTGATAACGATGATACTGTGCGAACCATCACAAGGTACGACCGACTCGCCCAGCCAGTCAGCGCCACAACATGGTCTTTCCTCGAAGAAGAACCCCCGGAAGTCGCCTGGCTCGAGTTCGTCAACA